GATGATAAGGGGGAGGGAAAGAGAAAAAGAAACAAAAATTTAAAAAGAAAGATGAAGTTCCAGGGGATATAATTGATCAAGGTTGAATGCCAAAGATGTCAAAAAAGCAAAGGAAGTTCTTTAAATCTTTTGGAAGCACAAATGTAGCAGAACAAGGCAGGAAGATCTCACAACCCTGTTGAAAAAGAAAAAAAAAAAAGAGCAAAGTTGGACAGGGAAAAGGAGCATTGTGGTCCAGAAGAGTATTTCATTATTATAATATCTTCTGAAAACATTAGCAGAATTGAATGATTCACATTCATAAGAACTTGGAGTAGGAAGAAGAGCAGAAATATAGGAGTACAATGGTTTTCTGTATTTGTATGGAAAAAATTCTATATTATTCTCTGTCAACACCATGTCTTGGTCCTACTTCTGCCCACTGAGAACAATGGGGTAATGACTGCAAGAAGCAAGATGCTAAGAACAGGATGTTTAACTCAAAGTGGCATTGTAAGAGGTAGATAATACTAACTTTAAAACACAGGTGATCTGTGTTTCACACAGGTGAACAACTTTGCAAAACCTGCAAAAAAATAATTTATTTATTTATTTATTTCAGTGTTTGTGTCAATCACCAGAATCATCTAAACAATTCGACTCCAATAGTAGAGCTTATTTGAACCAAGAAACTCAATACTCTCACCCAAACTTTGTCTTCATGTAATGGATATTAAGGATTTTTTTCTCCCGCAGAACTGATTCAGGAAAGGACTAAAGCACATATGCAAGTCCCAATGACTTGCACAAGATGTGAACATAGAACATTTCACTAACACTAATACTTGATGGAAAAGGACAAACACCTGAGCAACATGCAGAACTGATTCTGAAGCCAACAGCTGCAAGGTCAACTTTAGTCAGGGCTTACACAGGGCTTATCAGAGCAGGTGTAGAGCCACAATAATGCAGTAATATGGCTTTTGGAAGCAGCCTAGTATCTGTTCTTTCTGTACATTCCATTTCAAAAACAGTAGCCACATACAAAAATTTAGCAAAACCTGAATGCATAGCTAAAGTTCAGCATCCACGTGGTGTAGTTGGTCAACTATTTCCAGGAAGGATCTTCAAAGCTTGCTTACAAATGTCATGGCAAATACCAGAAGACTAAAATTCATCAGTAAATATGACCAAGCAACTAATACTTCTGTGGCAGTCTAGCTGTCTAAGCCTCTCTCTGTTATTTTCTACTTCCTTAATCAGTGTCTGTAACAGGTACATTAAATATAAATACCTTTGATGTTCAGATAAGGACTGCAACGTATGAAACGGCCCAGAGGAAAAAGATTATGCTTTTTCAAGCTCACTTTTGGTACTACAGGGAAAACTATAATTGATGAGGCATAATGAGCATAATTATTTTGTGTGTCATTATAATTTTATATTAAACAAGAGGTAATCATCACCACAGAATGACCCACAGTAATGGAAAACGACATGACAGCCACCATCCACTTTTAACTTTTTTATTTGTTTTTACATTTTGGGAGGGTCTTTCACTATAAAAGAACACTCAGATAATGGGAATGGTTTTATATCAGTTGGGTTGCTCATTAAGTTGAAGCAGCACAGAGAAACACTTGTGCCTTTCCCTCCCTAGGGTCAAAACATGCATACACCCACTTCAGGATCCATAAACTAAATCAAACAGTCTTGCACATTTCACCCTCAAGTGCTGACAAGCTGTAAAAAGGTAATGCTTGGATCACTTTAAAGTTATTTGAAATACCAGTCATAACCAAAACAGCAGAACAAGACCAGAAAAATGCAGCTAAGGCATCCCAAGTCCTCATTACGAATCCACCAGCCAAGGGATGGCAGCTGTCTGCCACACACTGAGGCAGCCAGGGAAGCTGGCACACACATGGTAGCTTGGAGGCAGCATTACTACCCTTGTCTCACTTGACTCTTCCACAGTGTATTTTGGGGGCTTTTTAAGAGATAATCCTTGCCCCATGCTTTTGAGTATTTTTTCCACATAGTCAATGATTGACAAAAACAGCCTGGAGGAACATAAATTGTAGAAAGGCTGTGGCTGCCTGAGGGGGTAGGGACTTTGTCACCTGAGGCAGGACACTGATCTGTCTGCAATGCCTGCAAGATGCCCCTGAAGGGACCAGAAGAAAATGCTGGTGAGGTGTTTATCGCCCATTTCTTCACTGACAATTGAAGATGGAGAAACCACAGAATATGTTAGCCTGAAAGTCCCATAGCAGCAGATGAGATTATATTCTAACACGTACTACAACACAGAGGACCTGATTATAAACCATCACCCTGTAAGACAACTCCATTTGCAAAGCAGTTCTGCCACATTAGTACACAACTGCACCTATGCTAAAAGCTCGCCTTGCAAATGACCTTATTAGTACAGCACATCAGCTCAATATTGCTACACGGCATCCAGCCATGAGTGGCTTTCATCCTGCTAGCCCAGAATACAGATGGATGTGGAACAAAACACTCATCTCTGCTTTAGCAAAGCTGGTCTTCACAGATTTCTACTTCTTTATCAGTTCCCACATGGGGAGTTTTTGAAGGGATCTCTTGCTGCTTTTTAGCCTAGGATAGAAGCTCTTTCCAGGAGAAGAGAGGAAAAGTAGAGCCATCAGGAAAAATGATGCTGCCACTCCAAAATTTTCGGAAGAAAATACTATTGAGGAGAAACAGCTACGAGTCGATGAAAACAGAGAAATGAGGAGTGACAGCCTCTTCTTAGTAGCCTAAAAATAAGGAAAACACTTCTCCACTCTACTGTTTGACTGAGTAGGCCATTGTCTCACTCTCTGAATAGCCTATTTATCACTAGCATTCATAAAACTAAAAAAAAGAGGCAAACAAAAATAAATTGTTTTTCCTATGTCAACCTCATTTAATTACTGAAGAGTAGTTTGAATTGTTGATCTCCTAATGCTTTGGCAGGATTGGCAGCCAGTCTAGTCCAGTCAGACTTGCCTGATTGTATGAGAAACAGAAAATAAAATTAGCATAGTCAAAGCCAGGGATAATCTTAGAAGTATTCACAATAATGAATAGTTTAGTGACAGGTCGCTTTAGCTGGGAGTTTCTTATACCCAGCTTTGTTACAATGTGTGTGGGCTAGTAAATATTCAGTAGAAGTTTAACAAAGTATTTTAAGGAGATTTAAAGTCAGCTCAGTCATGTCTATATCATCACACTGACATGTTGTCTTTGCTTTTGCATATCTTACAAGACACTTAATGTCAGCTTATATGGTATGAAACCAGATGCTCATATATACATGAGTCTGTGCATACTGAGATTTGTATGATGAAAATAGCTCATTTTGTCTCCTGGGAGCATAATAGGCAGTAGTCTAATTTCCAGACAATGCTGCAGTCAATCCTACTATTGGACAAAAACTGGCTTTTTTTTTTTTTTAAATCATAAAATTTGGCTCTATGCAAGCAGACAACTATTAATATCTGGGGATCTCACCAAGAGCAAAAATGGAACATACATTAACTAATTAAGTGCATACACATTCTTTTCTTTCCAAGGAATGCCAATGTTTTAGTGCAAGCTTTATATTGTTACTAAACTGGTAAGTCTCAGAGCCTTGTATAACCGCTCTGGCCTGCTGTCTCGCTTTTCATTTGCTTCATTTCTTTCTCTCCTCTGCTAATTTTGGAAAAAAAGTAAAATAAAGGGGATGTGCTTGTTCACAATTAACAAAAGTCACTTACTGCAGCAACAAATTTAATAATTTTCCTAGGGTGAGAAAGGATATGAAGAAGTGTTACAAAATCAGATTGACGAACTACCATAATGCTGGTTTGCAAGGCATATTATCTGCCAAATCTGATATTTTCACTCCCTATCAGTTCACAGTAAACACCTGCATTTGCTTCTTACCATCACAGCTTTTAGACTATGGCATATATAACTGTTCAATTAAGAAGCACAACTCTGTCAGCAGATGGCTTTGCATCATATAATGGGTTACTGAGCAGGGGACTGAAAAAACTCCAGTGTTCAGGTACTGTCAAATTTTTCTTTCACAAACAGGCAAAGCAGTCAACTGATCCCTTCTCACTTCTGACAATTTGTGAATAAGGAAGGTTTAGTCAATATCTACATTGCACTCACAGGTGGTATTTTTACCATTCTCATATAAACTTGCATGTGTGCCAAGAGCAGTACAGACAGGCAGCATGGAGCTCAGGTTCCCAGCTGGATCTGCTGTATATGCTGAAACCACAGAGCTACAGCTAAACGTTGTTAGTGATCCCTAAACTAGCAGGTTTACTGCCTATTTGGATGTGTTTTCACTAGCTGTGGTCACTTTTCATTACCGCGTAGATACAACCTTCAAGAGACGTAGCTGGGCAATGTTACGAATACCTGACATTTATACATTAACAGGAAGGCATAAGTATTTGACAATAACTCTTCACAGTACTTGTATGCAGGGGGAACTACAGTCATTTCCTAGGCTGAATTATATGACCTCATTTCCTCATTTTTATTATGTAGTATTGATATAATTTGCATCAGATGAAATAAAGAAACAGCACTTCCCTGATGCTGTCCTTTACTTTTTCTTATATTTTCTAGTCAAAGAAAACAGAACATTTGGTGAATATATGAAAAATCTTCATTAGCATGATAGATACCAGATTCTAAATGGAAAACTACCAGGGTGGGGTCTGTAATACTAATAATGTATCTTTAATTTCAAAATACAGAACTAATATTAGTGAAAAAGAAAGTATCCTCTTACCTTAGGGTCTCATTTTCTCCATGTTAATGCCAAACCTGTAACACCTAATCAAAACATATTCCTGCTTTTCTTCATTTTTTACTAATGCACATACCACTGGAACTTGAAAGGACATTCCCCAAGTATACTCTTTAGATGTAGCTGATAAAACCAGACAATTCAAATGCAGAGACAGATTGGAATAAGTAAAGCATTCACCATAAAGAGCAAAAATTACCTTTAGCAGGGTTTACTTTTATCCCTGATCTATACAGCATCTCTTCATTCTGCCAGTCCCCATTCCTGACAACAGTCTTGAGTCCATAGAAAATAATTAATGCAGCAGTGGAACAAAAAACCAAGTTCTTCAAAAAGCGCTTTTGGGCTTTGACATAAAGGGCCCTGACACCTACTGTAACCAGCAGGCAGAAGCCCATACTAGGAACATACAGCACACGCTCTGCTATTACAAAGCCAACATAGAAAAATAGGTTTGTGGCAGGAACAAAGGGCACTATTAACAAAGAGAGAGACAGAATGACAATGTTCTCAGTTGAAGGAAGCTGCAGTTTCTTAATTTCATGCTTTTTTATGCCATTCTCTTCTTTTGATGCAAAGCTTGACTTCACCTCCAGCGTCTTGTACTCCATTTCTGAGTGGCAGCTATGCCCATTAGCATTTTGCTTCCCATTCATTACAGTTCTCCCATTGCATTCTCTCTCATTGCTGGAGCCCTTCAGGCTGAAGTAGGCAAGGAGGAGGAGACCAGCATAGAAGGCCACAGTGTGTAGATTCCTCCAGTCACTGACTGCTTTTAGAAGAGGCACAGCATCCATAGACCAATCAAAGCTGAGGGTATCTGGGCACAGCAACAGCCAGAGGTTCTTGGTTGGCAAGTAAAAGAAGGTCAGCGTACGTGTGAGAAAACTGTCTGAGTCAGCTGCTGGATTGTCAGAGTTGGAAAAACTTGGGGGCTTGTTGCCCATCCAGTATAAGCGAACACCCAGCAGTGCAGTGCCCCAGGAAGTCAATAAACCAATGCTGAAGAACAGGGTCAAATTCTTTCTCTGGAAAAAAAAATTGCATAAATCAACACCATGTATTTAGTTGTGTAAATTATATACAAAATAAACTAAGAAATCATCTGTTACAACCTTTTTCAGTAATAGAAACAAGCACAATAGATCTCAATCTCTGACATTTGGATCACAAAATGCTGGGGTATGCTGTTGACCACAGACTAACAGAACTGGCTCTTTCATTTAAGCTGTATCAAGCCTGTATCAGAGTCAAGCCTTCAGACATTTGAGGGCTGTCAGTCCTTGCTTAAGATTTAGTTGTGTAACCCTTTGAAAACTCTTTATTTTAGAGGAATTTATTAAATCTTACAATAGTTCCTACATAACCTCCAAAATCCTTTGCCTTAACTAGATTTAAAGTCTAAATAATGTTCCAATTCCGTTTTCCCTAACAAAAGTCTCTCCTAAGGCATTTCACCAGAGAACTGATTAAACTTTCCAAGAAGGCAAGAGAGGAAAACGGATGAGGACTCCGTGTTTAGGTCTCCTACCTCCTACCTATTAACTACAGTGATCGTTTGGAGCCTTAAGATCTACCTACTATTGAAAGTCCCACTTTATTTTGAATAAAACACAGAAAATTTAACTTCAACATGAGGAAGAACTTCTCTATATTGAGGGTGGCAGAGCATTGGAAGAGGCTGCTCAGGAAGGTCATGGAGTCTCCCCCTCCGGAGACATTCAGAACCCACCTAGACACGTTCCTTTATAACCTGCTGTAGGGGACCCTGCCTTGGCAGGGGGGTTGAACTAGATGATCTCCAGAGGTCCTGTTCAACCCTAACAACTCTGTGATCTCATAGCCAAACAATACATTGAGTGCTTTTCTGCAAGTGCACCATATTAAATAAGTGCTTCAAAACCTTTCACATCTTCTTACACATCTAAATAATATTATGTGAATCACGCAGCTGACTCCACCTATCCATATCATCATTTTACCAACTTGAAGAACCCCCACTTTTTTATGGAATAACTCCACATTTTCCAGCAGGAGATGCTTCTTGGGTAAGTTCTGCTCTCAATTACATGGGCGCCCTAAATGCAAGCTGGTTTACATTACTCTCTCTTTGCAGTAGAATCTCTAGAAGCTAAAATATGTGCATTTTTATATTTCAATTTCTCAGATGCTTTTTGTAAGAAAAAAATAATCTATTTACCAAATAGTTCTAGATACAGTGTAAGTGCTTTGATAATCTTTCCCCCCATTATTGGAAGGAACTATTTGTCAATCATTTTTCATTTTATTAGAACTGTTTTTTCCTTCTCATACTACACATTCCTGGCGTGGTTATTCAATATCTACTTAGTTATTCAGAAGCAGAACCTCACACTGGAATGTTTTATCTTATTTCCTCAAAACAGTTCACTTTTCTCCTTTGTGGGCGGCCTCAACCCTCGATATCATGAAATACAGATGATAGTGCTGTTTCATTTTAGGTCAATTAATAGTTTTCTACCTTCAGTTTACTGATGTTCTATTAACAAGATGATAAGTCTAGTCGTGATCATTTATAAATGATCATGAAGAAATTTATTCCTTTTCACATTCTACAGAGTTTCTCCTTGTGAAGTTTAAAATATTAAATGGCAGATTAATTAATTCAGTTTTGATGCAACATGGAAGAATTTAATGGAGGCAGTAGTAGGGAACAAACAAACTTATGAGAACATTTAGGCACTTGTATCAGAAACATCTAAAAAACGCTGGCACTTTTTATACATGAAGTAAAGCCTGGGTCCACAGATTTAATTTGCCATATTAATTCCAGTTTGTTGTATTAGCTTTTGTATATCTCTATATCTTGAAAAATCCACATGTTTTTGGTAATATATCAACCAAAACCCATATCTACACTTCATGATAGCTACATTCCCTAGAAAGCCTATTAGAACTTTAATTTGTAAGCTGGATAATACTTTGCAACTCATCTCAGATACGGTTTCATCCATGCCTGCCAAAACTGCTTAAATGCTTTTAATGTTATAAAGCTGTGTAAACTGGTTATCACTGAAACTACCAACTAAGTTTATCTTTGGAATAAAAAGATTATTCAGATTTCATGGATTTGCATGTATGCCCTTAGCAAAACCTTATGTCCCTGGTTCAACTTGTCCTTTCATTCCTGTCATATTTTGCTACATGAAATTTTTTCTGCCCACCCATCTGGCTCAATTATTTTCAAACTCATTTCCTTCAAACATGCATATAGACATTGCAACAAACGTGGGTAGAGCCCTTCCCAAATCTTCGTTCGCAAAGCCTAGCCATGATGGATGGATGGATGATGGATGATGCATATAGACAACCTCTCAAATGTTAAATGTGACATTTTTTTTTCCTTTTATAAATTCTTATGGAGTCTCTTAGGCAGAAGAGATTGCTTGACAGAAAGAAGATGGGAAGTGAAAGATTTTTCTTTGCTTGTTTGAATTATAAATTCAGAGTAAGTCTTTGCTGGATGGCTAGATACCACTCAAAAAATTAAGATAGCTCAAATACTAAGAAAATAAAATTTGATTAACAGATCATCATGGTCTGATTAGACTGTTTTCTTATTTTGTTAATACTTACTTATCAACTGGAAGAAAATCTCACTTTCCTTAAGTCCTAACCATTGCAATTTTCAATTAAATGCCAAGAAAGTTCACATTACAAAGTTCTCTGACAAAACCATGCTAGGGCAGAAATGCCATTCCTTGTGGATAATAGTGAAACCTCCTAAAAACTTTCAGGTCTTCCTATAGGTCATAAAATAGTAACAATTAAAAGTTTGCCTCTCGCATTTATCCCTGGAAATGCTAACAATCTCTACCTCTGAGCTAATCCATCTTCGTTGCTAGAGTAACTATTGCAGCCTCCCATTTAAGCTTACATTTAAGATCTCTAAGATCTGTATCCTCACATCCATGTTGGTTCTACAAAGAACACAAATTATCCATATACAGTACTGTGTTTCATACTTTAACTAAACTTTTTTACTATTTTTAAGCATTTTACATAATTGTCAAAAGAAATACCTAAGCATTCACTCATGGAGCTCAGAGATATCTGAGTAGATGGTTTTCCACACCAGCATATCAATTTATCATGCAGTAAAGCACTACTTAACTGGAGAAGGAGCTCTGATGGATTCTTTAGCTTAGTTAACTGACTACAGGAATGAACTGCAAATATCCTGTTGTTGCCTCAGCCACAAATGATTTGCATCCTTCCCCAGAAACTATTTCAGACATGGATCTTTTCAAAATTCAGTAGCTTTACAACTTTTTAAAATTAGCTACATGTTAACTTCAGTTAGCAATAACCAGTGTAACACTGACATGCCATTGTGAATTTTCAGATTTCAGAGGAGACTCAGTCTAGAACCAAGATTAAAACAGTCCCTAACACTTCAAACTTCTGTCACAACAATTTAAAGTAGTCTCTTTTTCTTCCTTTTTTTTTTTCTTTTTTTATTTTTAAATCACACAGCACTGGCCTAGAAAGGAAAAACCAACTCATTTCCCTTTTTTCCTCTCTCAACATTCATGACTTTTGCACAGCTTTTAGCCCTCTGTGCTAATATAGTAAGAGAGAATGAGAAAGGTTTAGCACACATTTTGGCTTTACTTTTTCCCAGGCTTTGCATGAAAATCATTGAAGCAATTTGAAAAAAAAATCATTCCAGCAATTCATTAAAATTAAATAATATAGCCAATTTCCCAGTAGACTTTTGGCTGCAAAGAAAGTGCTTTCAAAATGAACTCTGCTCAGACCAGCACTTTCACTAGTAACTCTTCTCTGAGCCTCCTGACAGCCTGTGCTCCTCTGACCTGACTGTGTACATTTAGTGCAGTCCAGCAGCAGAAGAGATCCTCTGTAATGCTTGGCAGAAAGGATTTGGATTACTATACTCATGAGTCTCAATCCAGCCCATCTGCCATATGTTTTGACACCCCCATAAATCCTCTAAGTAGTACTTTCTTAAGTAGTCATTTTCATCTGGGGAAAAAATGAGCACTGATTTAGATCAGATTTAACATCTCTCCTGCCTGCTAATAGGCAAGTACCACCACTACCATTTTAGTCTTTGTGACTGTAGAAACCTTTTCCATTACCCTATCAAAATCCATCTGCGTGACCCACCCACATTGCACATTTCCCTTACATTAAGTCCTAATTCCTCACTTCATTATATGGCTCTTCAATAAGGCACTGGAGCAGATTTCTTCATTGGGCAGCCCCTGCCAAAGCTCAGTCATCATCTAAGTGGTATCCAAAGCATTTTCAAAGGACACTGTTCTTTTAACCTCACCTTGTCCACTTCACAAAGCAGCATTAATACAGCACATGGTTAAGACAGTCCAGATATGAAAATCATCACACACAAAATGTTATTTTAAGAACTCGGGAAATGCAGAAATGAAAGTAGATAAGTCACCAGGCATTACTCACAAGAGTTTCTTTTCCAGCTTAGAGCTCCTTAAAAATATATTGGCTTGAAAACTGGGACTTCCCATAGTAGTAAAATGCTGCCAGATCACAAGACTGACAGTATTTTGTTTCTATAGTAGGTAGAGGCTCTTGGATCACAGCTCAGCCAAATTTGAGCAGAACTAGAACTCAAAACATACCCCCACCAGGAATGAAGCTATTTGTCACAACCCCTGCCAGGTCACAGTACTGAAATGGAAGTGGCCTTTAACTCTGCTCTTCTATGCAATGTACAGCCATGCTTAAGAAAAAAAGAGAAAACTATAAAGTGACTCTTAAAGAGTACAGACTGCAATCCTACCTACCTACCTACCACCAAAAATTATTATGGCACATTTCATGTTTCTTACGCTAATAAGACAGCCATAAAGGAAAATTAAAGCCTATGGGCTGGTTTAATATGCAGTGTGAGAAAAACAAACACTGTAAGAATGTAAACAGACACATTTAACTGACTAATGCAAATAGAAATGGATTTTACAAGCAAAAATGTCATTTAATCCCAATTTAA